GCGCCTTTGCTCCTTTGCCCCGGAGCAAAGCCGCACAGGCAGCGGGGTCCCCCACCTCTGCGGCTTTGCTCCTGTCTCCCTGCTGTGCTGGGGAGTCCCCCCCAGCACACCAGGGAGACCCAGAGCAGCTTTTCTCGCCCCGGAGGACGCGGTGGCGGGACCGCTGCGCTCTGGGCGGTCCCGCTGCCCACGAGCTCCGGGTCGAGAAAAGCCCCGTTCGTAAGTGCGGATCTGACATAAGTCGGATCCGCGTAAGTCGGGGACTGCCTGTATACATAGCTGATCAAAATTATGCAAAAAAGTAGTGACCTGTTTTTGAAGTGCTTTGAATATGAGGTTTGATTTAAAAAAAATAAGGCTTATAAATAATTGCTGCACATCTCAGCTGGATTACAGCAATGCAGTACCTGTGAATGAAGACTTCAGCACTTTGGAAGTTCAGCTACTGCGAACACATCAGACGTGACGTCCGTTGGCTTCTCATTGGATTTCAAATCAAGTGAAAAGTCTTATACCTTACCGTGAAAGAACTCCATAGCTTTGGCTCAGGATAGCTAAGAGGTAGCCTCAAGTACCAAGATGAAGATGGTTGTGGATAACTACACTTCTGTGGAACAATGGAACTCTTATCAGTAAGATTAAAGCTTGCCTAATAGGGGAGCAGAACTTTTATCCAGAAACAGTCTGAGACTGTGAAATGAACTTCCTCAAGAACTGAAGAGCATCGCTACCTTAATTGTTTTAATTCCAATTCCAAGTGTCTTGACAGGTATAATTACTTTATACTTTTAAAAAGACATCTTACTGCAGATGCTTGTCCCCCTGTGAATGGATGAGAAAAAAAATACCACATGACAAACGTATACCCATGTTGCTTTAAAGCACTATTGGAAGGCACTCAGATATTACAGCAATGTGTACTATAAGAAACTATGTAGACTAGAGTAGGGTTTTAGAAAGCTCTTCATGGGTTAGGGTTTTTGCAGCAATTACCAAGAGTGTTTGATATTCAAAAGAGTCTTCTATGTAAAGATCTTTGTGGCTCATACAGATTTGTTGAAAAATAACTGGAACACTTGATACATAGAATACTTTGCATTTCTTGGATGTTCATTGTTCATTTTATAGCGCTCATGGAGGAGAAAAATATGGGGGCGGGGGTGTTGGAGAACTGAGAGAAGAAAGTGTCAAGACATTAACCAATGAATGATAGTACCTCTATCTGAAGGAGGAGAGGAACTGGAGCATCCAGTGAGAGGTGAACAATTTTTGTGCACCAAAGGTTGACTTTTCATCTTAAAATTAATCTCTCATACTCTAGCAGAGGCATGTAGGGGGATTAGTCAAGACACTAAACAAAAATGAGGGGGTTGTTTTTTTTTAAATCTCATAATTTTCAGGGAACTGACTCTCTTGATTTTTGATTTCGGTAATATTGATAAATGAAGGTTAAGTTTTAAATAATATCTTCAGAGAAATGTTGGTACACTATATGGGCATGCACCAACTCTTAGAACCATGACTATGGTCACTAAAGTAATATAGAATAATTTGGATGCTTTGTTACATGTCTGAATAAATTAAGGAGTTCTCCATGCAGCAGATAAAAATAGGGTTCATACAGGCATATTGCAGATTCCCTAAATTCTCCCAGTTGGCCAGTAGCCAGACCTAGAGCATCATCCAGATATAGTTTTGAGCTTTTTTCCTTAACTTTTGTATTTGTTGTCTGAATGTTTCTCTTTAGCTGGCTTTTGGAAGCGTCATTATTTTAGTTATTTATTTATGTCACATCAGAGATAACAAATATGGGTTGCACTTCTGAAAACTAGTACTCTTTGGTTGGGCAACATCTGTGGTTTGCCAAGACCTCCTGGTCCACAGAGCCCTGGCTGAATGGCAAGAAGGTCAGCAACCTGGCTGGGTCCAGGGACAGCAGGACCAGAGTAGGGATGTAAGTGACTAGTTGACTATCGGATAAGCAAAAGCTTATCAGATACTTGACTAGTCTCTCGACTAGTCACTTCTCCCCCACTTGCTGCCTGTGATGGGGGGAAGTGACTAGTTGAGGGGGGAAACAGGAGAACAGTCACATCCCCCCCCAATTGCTGCCTCTGAGGGGGGGAACAGGAGCCGGTGCTGGGGAGAGCCAACTTAAAAGCCAGTTCCCCCCAGCATTGTCTCTGCGGAGGGCAAGGGAGGCAGAAGGGTAGCTGGGACCAGGCACAAAGCAGGAATCAGCTCACTACCGGCTCGCACCCAGTCCCAG